CTAATATAAAGAGAACTAACCAAATAATTATATATCTGCCTGTCTATCACTCTATATATTTATTTATTTTCGTCTCTTAATTATGATTACATATAGCATGTAGGAAAGACCTAAAAAATCGTCTGGACTACATGTCAACTTAAGATTTTTTACAAGAATGGCTTCCAGCTCTGATGCCTGTCAGGTTATCATGGGCTAAAGAAAAGCTCAGCCCATTTTCACCCGAAATGAAGGAGGATGTTTCCTGAACTGCGTCAATCTGAGCGTTGTATTAAAGCCAAGCGCGTAAAAACATCAGCAATCGGCCGTAGTCTCCCAGTGGGATAATTCTTTTCACCATGAACTTTCATATGAAATTAGTCTACACAATATAGTTGATAAGATCTATGCAAGGTCGAAAGCACCTTTTGGGAAAAAAGGCTATGTGAAATTCAATGGAAACGTCAGCTCTACTCAAAACATGATAGGAAAATTCAATCACTAGTCCTTTATTACCTTAAACGAAATTGGATGAATACATCTCCTATATCTAAAAGGCTTGTCTGGAACTTTCTTTTCTCCAGATTATCTCTAATTTAGCTAATCTTTAACCCTACATTCATGCGCTATTATAAAGACTAAAATTAAATTATTTACACTCAGTGCTTAAGTATTCCTAAAAGCAAATTCTCCATTGTTTGTTGATAGTTGACCCGCTCACGAATAAAAGCCTTATCGATTGAATTTCATACAGGCTTGTTTTAAAAAAGGATTTCCAAATCAGTTGACAGAAATTATCCTCTTGATTGGGTCGCACCAGTTGGCCCGATGGGGTTCAAACACTAAAGTTTGCAATTTATATAGCTTCCGAGGGTAATAAACCCAGGATGCATTGACTGAAATAGAATTATGCTAATATCCACAAATTAATCTTTTTATCATTCACATGACTAAGAATGAATTGGTCGAGATTATACGCTGTACTGTCATGATTTGAGTCTCGCTCGGGGTGCTGATAAGACCTAGGCAAAATCGAAATTACAGTACACTCTGGATGAGGATACTTTTTTGGAAAGCAAAGATATGTGAAATTCAATGAAAACCTCATGTATACTCATATCTTTGTGGGAAAATTCAACTACAATTACTTCAGCACCTTGAACGGAATAGGGTGAACATAACTCATATTTCTGATTTATTGGTAATCTCGAAAACCTAATCAAAATGAAATATAAGAATGATCTACCTGGAGATGAAATGGTGATATATAACCTTCCCGAAAATCTCGTTTTACTAGGATAAAAATCTGCTGATAATCAGATAATTACAGTGAATTTGACTCAGGCTAAAGAGATCATAAAATTGTGGAAAAGAAGTGTACAATATCACAGGTCGCAAAGATCAAGCTCACTTTAAGAGAGGATAATAGTTTCGACCTTATCTATACATAATTATCATGCAGTGGGATTTTAACTCCGGATGAGCAGCTTAAATAGACAATACGCAATCCCACAAATCACAAACCTTAGTGACGACTATACGATAAATGTTGGTCATTGGAGTTAAATATAGAATACATAAAAAATGCTTAATAGATTAATTTTAAAACCATGAATATCGTATTTTACTGTAAATAACCTGATTCGTCAATAGAGCTTTAAGAGCCAATGTTAACTATGTGGCCCTCAGATGACAGGGACAAAGATTGCCTGTTAAATTAGTTTTAGGTGAAAGTATGTGAACGTAAAAGACATGAAAATTTGAGTAAAAATATTATTGGTTTACCTCTTTGAAGTAGCTCATCAATACGTTTGGAGAGTTGCAAACGATTTTTATCAAAATGTTGAATAAGCTCTCGAATATCGTCGGGACCAACCTTGAAATGAAATTTGATAAAATTACTAGGACCGTTAATAGTAGATGGAGAAGTAAAAATGTTAACAGGAACAATTCTTCGAATAAAAGATTCAGGGAAGTGGATTATTTACCACGATAATGAATTTTAGCTAGTGCTGTAATCAAAACATTTGAATAAAAAAGCGCAATAAGTTAAGTATTCTGAGCTTCCAGTCATAAAAGTCGCTTAATACCATACACCATAAATGTATAAACACGTGGAGATTATTTTGATACCTACATGTGAAAATCATATTACAGACGTGTTTCAAACAGAATCGTTTCTGCTTTTCATTGAGATACCAATGCATTTTTCCGTTTTTTTGCTATCTCAATTAAGACCAAAAACAAGTACACGCATTCTTAGAACAAAAGATAAAGCAACGTTAGTTAAAATTGTATAAATGAACGAAACGTGTAAAACACACCTCATATCGTACTTCACTTAGCTCATTTTCGCCTGATTGCAAATTAGAGTTAGGGGATCGCGAATCGAATTTCAAATCCTTGTTGTCACCTCGATTTTGGGATGGAGGCTGTATCTGTCGGGTAGAATTGTTTATCTCAGTAGAATCAGAATGTATAGGAGATTCCTTGGATAGATGCTGCTTTTTGCCTTTAGTGCTCACAGGAATCTCATTAATATGCCCAGGAATCGAGTTTGAATTCTCCTTTCCCATGGTCTCAAAACCCGGCTCAACATGATCTTTAACAAGCCGAAATACACGTGCCTCGAGTTCATCATTTCGAGATTGCAGAATTTCAACCTATCATTAGGATTTAAAAAAAAACAAAAATAGACAAAATAATAATTATTCACGCAATTTATTTGAAGTGATATCAATTCTATGAATAGACAATGAGTGTAATTAACATAAATCAAGTCTTATAACAAGGCAAACGATGGAAGATAAAAGTAGTAATATGCAGCTAAAAATAAACGCAGAAAAATGTTTATTTTAAAAGTTTTGGCTGGTAACAATACAGCTACTTTTGATACAGTAAGCATCTAGGTAACATGAGACTTACTTGCAGTTGTAGTTGACGGATGAGTCTATCAGCATGCACATGAGCGGTATCCTTAATTAGAGCTTCAAGAGGCCTTCCACCTTCGCATACAGCCCGAAGACGATCTATTTCAGCATCGCGCAGCGTCAGCTTGAATTAATATATAAAACACCATTTAATGGAAAATAGAAAATGGATCGACATTAACATAAAATAAAACCTAAATTTCATATTAAGCAAATAATCGCAAAGCCAAAACTCAAGTCCTCAAATCAGTATGCAGGTATGATAAAACGTAATTGATTAGGATGCTAAATAAAGTTGTGTTGGTCAAAGTAAGCATGTAGATGTGAATAAAAATTTTATTTGCATATAAAATGGCGATGCCAATATCGCTTAAGTAATCATACTCGTGCGACTAGTTCTAATATGGTCATAAGCGAATATATAAAAGAAAATGGAATAAAATTACTTGTTGCCTGAAATTGTCGACCTTTCGCCGATCCAATTCAAGTTGTGATTCCAGAAATGAAATTTGTTGTTCGAGAACCTCGCATTGTCTAGTCGTTGAAGCAACTAAATCAATGCTCTAAAGATAAAATTCTTATGTACATACTTAGTTGAAAAAGTATTTATCTAAATAAATAATGAGAATGCTTAACCTACTTTGGGTTCAAAATCTTTTTCAGTATCGGCCCAGAATTTAGCGACTTTACAACAATATTTACCAGATTCTTCGCGTAAGGGTAGTAAAGTATCGATATCCATTCTCTGTCGTCTAAGGGAAGGCTTTTGCTTGCCTAAGTAAAATTAGATTGAAAGAATAGACGGATTCTAAGCATTTTGAATGTATCAATAATGAATGTGTAGAGCATATAATTGGTGGAAATATCAAAACTTTGGTGCTTAATAAGTACCTGAGACGTTCACAACGGCGTTAAAATTCTTCCCTTGAAAAGCCATAATCATTTTAGCCATTTCTTGGGCTTCTATTTCGTAGGATTTTAGTTTCCCGAGACATTGAGTATTAAAAAACGTAAGATCTTGCTTATCATTATCAATACGACGTAGGTCAGCTTTTAATCCTAGAAAGGCTAGTGGAAATTAATGGAACATGCCCATAATCGTGCACTCCGTCTCATGTTTTAATTTCATTAGACTTGTATGAAGTTCATTATTCTCTTTTACGAGTTTTGCATTATCAGACTTGTATGGAGCAACATAATCTTCCACACAATTTCTGATTTCAATACGTTTTTCAAGCTCCAATTTCACTTTTCTCAAATTTTCTGTTGTCCAAATTAAGTCTGCGAGTAAACGCTCTACCAATGGAAGACTATCGATTCCAAGTGGTTGACGATACCCAAGCTGATCCAAGCGTTTACGAACAGATGTAAATTTCTCATGTGCGTCTTCAGCAGCAGTGAGCATTACTAAAGCTATCTTTAATGCATGAGGTAAAACCACTATTACTGCAGAGTGTTACACAAATATCAAAATTTAATTATTTAAGTTAATAAAAAGTACAAGTAAGAATTACTAAAAAATATCGTTTGGGATCTTTGAAGCTTAAAGGGTATGTACACACAATCGTAACTCACATTTGATGCGTTTAAACTGTGAAACGTATGTGCCTATAATTACTACATTTTTGTAATACTACAAAGTTTAAAAAACTGTATATATAAATATAAGGATTTTAAAAATGACTGTAGAATAAAAAGTAAATTTTTATTTAAAATGATTAAGTCATTGGGATCACAAGCATCTCGATATGATATGATGGATAACTGGCTTTCGATGAATTTACTGATATAATATTATTACGAGGACTTGCATTTCGTATTAAAGTGTATGAAGAAGAGATTTGAAGGTCGATCTTGCCAAAAGGGAACGGTTGAATCCCATTGTACTGCAGCCCTTTGGCTTTTATACGAGGTTCACATCGACTCAGTCCACGAGACCTCCTCCATCTTTTCGGGTGAAAACTAATTGAGCTTATATCCAGCATATGATGAACATCATCAGAGCTTAGACTCATTCTTGTAACTTTCTTAAGTTAACACTAATACAAGAATACTATCAAACACTTTCATAACTCTTATATTGTCTCATTTGAGCAAAAGAGAGTTAATAAGCTATCCTTGAATAAAGTAAGAAGAACTATGTGTTTTGCAGAGCTAATTTGCTTACTACTGAATTTTTTTGGGAATAATCTCAAACCTACCTCTATAATGAATATTGTCTAAGTTTTATTTCGCTAAGAAACGACGATAGATTTCTCATGGCCAGTTGGCAGGTGGCTTTACTAAGCCATTCATCTTAACGTTATCCTTAAATTAATCCCCCTCAATTTTGGGTAAAACGTGCAAGCGTTCTTTTGTCGTTTAATTGAGCTATTTAGATAAGTCTTTTATTATTACATCATCTCAAAACTATATTCCAGCCAGCGACGGAAAATAACTCACTATCTTAGCCTTACATGTCCTTTATATGTCCTAAGCCTAATCGTTTTAATGAGATTTAATGTTCTTTTGTTATTTTAGCTCATCAGTCAACTTAGAAGCATATGCCTATGTATATTTATATGTAACCGAATAGTCACTCTGGGACGACTAAGGTAATCGCTAAGCTTCCATACAAGGAGATGAACTGGCCTTCCGATACCATTGAATTTTACTTGGTCTTGACTATCTAAAGTAGTTATTATATATTGTCGAAATTATCTAGATCCCATTAACGCCCCCAGCACGATTCGATACTGGTTCATGAGTATCGTGGTGATGCTACCACTCCACTCCACTCTCTTGGGTGTCCTAATGGGTCAGAGGAAAGATGCGAAATTTGAGACAAGCCAGGACTCTTCTAATTGACATTTATTGTGGGACAGTTAAATATGTAAACATATGCTTGCCATCATAATCAATAAAATTATGCATTTTTGATATAAGTATTTTTTGACACTTTCAGCAATATTTTAATAAGAGCTTAACTACACTATGGAGATTAAGGTGAATAAAAGAAGAATGATATTTGAGTTTTCTTCAATGGGATAAGCAGGCCTCACGATGCCTTTTAATTTTATATAACTGAATAACCTTAAAGGTTATCGCTATGTGATAAATAGAGCTTGCGATGCTAGTGAAATTTACTCATTATTGCTTCTCAAAAGAATATCTTAGCTAGAGTTGACTGCAGTTTCGACCTCGTCTAGGCCTTATCATCACCTGAGGCTGAATTCGATACTGGGTCTATAGAATGGTGACAATGTCATTATTTTAATCTAAAACAAGTAGATCAGTATATTTCAGTGTTAAACAAATGTTTGTCTAATCGAATATCCCATTATAAATATAAATCTAGTGATTCTTGGCTTGCCTTAAATGTCGCATTTGCTATGTAACCCACCAAGAACCCCGTGGCCATTGAAAAGCACAATTGCACGATACTTTCCACCCGTTATTGAATCTCAATAGGAGTGCTAATGGACCCAAGTGTAGTTAAAATAGCGGGCCCCTCGGCTAAAATATCCTTTAAAGAGGCAAGAGTAGGTGCAGTTCCCTAGCATTTAAGAAATATTTATCTCATTATGACTAAGCTCTTATTAAAGTAATACTGAAAGCCTTGAAAATTACTCATATCAGAGTAATTTTTTAATGCCTATGTACCTTCATGCGTCTATATAGGCATGAATCTAGCTGTAATAAGTCAAAGTAATTGAAATAGAGCGTATAATTTATCATCATTCATTAAGAATTAATGCCCCTCGTCTTTAAACCTTCACTCGGAATTTTCGGATATGAGTCTGGTTAAGTTGATAAGATTTTGTAGGTGTGAAGGTGATTGAACTAAGAAGTGTAGAATGTGTGATCGCAATTAGACCGATGACCAATAAAATACTAATTAATTCGCCTCGTTTTTACAGACGGCTCGATACTTAATTCTTAAGTCTATCAATTAAGCACAAGTAATTCTTGCACAACTTTATACCATTGACCTTTGCATCTTATATACTGTCTTATCTATTGCACTTAATTGACTCTTATTTTGTGGTTTGTTGCAGAAAATCGAAAAATTTGAGACCATAATGTTGCATGCATGACTCTCCCTGTAAGCGAGAGATCTAAAATGTAATAATGACAGTTTTCATATTTTATCATTCTTTATGGAATGAGATGAAAAGTGTCCTTCCCCAATAAGCTATACTCCATTTGTAAAGCGTTCACCAGCAGGATGAACTGGAAAACGGATATATTTTCTTTCTAAAAGTGAATGTAACTGATTAAAGTATCATAGAAATACCAAATATCGTTTTTACCTCATACCTCATTTTATTTTACTTATCATTTTAGAGTAAAGGAAGGACAGGAAAAATATTTTCTGTTTTAATAATCCTCCTCATCTAATTATTCTCAAGCCTAGAGGATACTTATTCTTAAGTAACAATAATTTGAGCCCAGCCAGCCCACTATCGAAAGATTCTCTACCAGCTAATTTTATACTCTGAGTATTTAGTAATTTTAAACTATCAGCATTCATTTTTTTAAGAATAAATTAAGGATATAATCAGTATGCACTGTGTACTGCTATAAATTCCTGCACAACTTCTCTCTTGTTCTGATACCA